TGCGAATCTATTTTGCTATCGTGCGAGAAACCGGCTTGATTTTGGGACCAACATACGCTTTATATGATCATGACTGCTTGTGGGATTTTGCACAATATGCAAAATTTGGACTACTCCTACTATGTCTTCATGGGAAGGGTAGTGAATCCGTGTAGGGGAGACGTCGGTATTTGTTATTTTTTCAAGTTCACCATGAAATTCAAGATATAAGTATTCATGGCAGTCTTCAACAAAATCTCATCGATGAGTGGTGGAAGTGGAATGGGCTACAAGGCCGCTATTCCTACTTCCATGTTCCGCGTTATGTTTAATGCACTATGTTTTATGTTTGATAAACAAGTGAGTTGAATTCAGGTTGTGGATTGATGAACTATCTAGTAATCAAGTATTGTTTATGTTTTATTTGTGTTGGATCCACTTGACATGCGTTCGGTATTATCTGAAGCATCGCATATCTATAAATATAAATAAAAGTTGAAATATGGGTATGTAGATATGGATATGCTGTAAAGGCATAAATGTTTTTCCCTACCCAATCTTCTCTCCCCGGCCCATGATGAATTTTGGCAGCTAAATTTTTGATGTGCTCTTTTTTAACAGCACGTGTAGGTGGGCAAAAAAAGAAAAACTCTGGGGCCGATCGAGGCGGCAAAGGTCCTTTGGTGCCACGGTGGCATTTCCTCTGGTTCCATGGGCTGCCGGGAACACGCTGCAGACTTTGCAGTCAGCACAAACGTACGCACGTACGTCCGACAATTATTTGGTGAAGATATTCGGGTGGAAGGACATCAACGTGCGTAGGTAAAATAATACTAGTAAAAATTAAAGTTTTTACTGGATGAATGGCGTGATGATTGAGTAATACTACAAGCTCTTTTCCCTGCCAAAATAAAAGGGAAAAGAATGGGCAGTGCTAAAATGATGGAATTCTTACGGGAGAGGATAAGATGGAGAAACGAATACCGCAGACAGCATGATGGCGTGGCGTGCTCATGGTTTTGCCCAAGCACACATGCATGCATGCCATCGCCATGCACTCGCCCGAGTAAAATCCTACTACTAGTATACGTACGTATCCGTATGACCACGCCACGCGATGAAGTACCGGCAGGCGCCGGTACGTACAGCACGCGTGGCGCTGTCAAGCAGTACTGTTCTGAAATCTGAAGCCCAAACAGTGGCAGGTAGTAGCAGGGAGGAGGAAGAAAGAAAAAGGCAGAGGTCCCAACTGTGCTTTCCATGGTAGCACGGCGGCCACGAAGCAGCAGTAGCTGCGCCCGCCATCAATGGCTAAAACCAGCAATAATCACGCACTTCCGAACGGAGAAACGCCCGTCCAATTTCCCTTCGCCTCGCTTTGCTGGAGCGTGTGTGTACATTTTCTTTCCGAAACTCGTTTCTTTTCTTCGCCCGGCCCGGCCCGCCGCCGATGGGATTGGATTAGCCCCTCCCCCGGCTCGCCCGGCGCCATTATTCGGTCTCCCTCCCGCCCCTCCATAAGTACCCCGCCCCGCTCGCTCCCACTCCTCAACTTCAACCCCCCACACCACTCGCCAACGCCTCCGCCGCCGTCCACTCGCCTTCTTGCTCTGCCCACCGCGAGCGCGCCCGGAGCGACGATGGCCGCCGCAATGCCACCGCCGCCGCTGCCCGCCCTCCTCGCGGCGCTGCTGCTGCTCCTGGTGGCGCTTCCGCCCGCCGCGGCGCGCGTCCCCGGCGTGTACACGGGCGGCGACTGGCAGAGCGCGCACGCCACCTTCTACGGCGGCAGCGACGCCTCCGGCACCATGGGTACCGTTTCCTTCCTCCCTCCACCGGCGGTTGGTTTCCGCCATCATGTCTTCTGATCTCGTGTTCTTGGTTCCCGCCATCATGTCTTCTGATCTCGTGTTCTTGATCTGGCGTGGCAGGCGGCGCGTGCGGGTACGGGAACCTGTACAGCCAGGGGTACGGGGTGAACAACGCGGCGCTGAGCACGGCGCTGTTCAACGAGGGGGAGAGGTGCGGCGCGTGCTTCGAGATCCGGTGCGTGAACCAGCCCGGGTGGGCGTGGTGCCTGCCGGGGCGGCCGTCCATCGTGGTCACCGCCACCAACTTCTGCCCGCCCAACTACGCGCTGCCCTCGGACGACGGCGGCTGGTGCAACCCGCCCCGCCCCCACTTCGACCTCGCCATGCCCATGTTCCTCCACATGGCCCAGTACCGCGCCGGCATCGTCCCCGTCTCCTACCGCCGGTAACTTTCCCTCCATCCCTCCCTCCCAAATCTCCCGCCAACTTTCCTTCCTATCCTGTCACTTCCCAATTTTTTTACTGCTCCGGAGTCAAATGCGACGCTGTTTCTTGGTCGTAGTATAGTAAAAAACATTCGTCTTGGTTGAAATTTTCTGTTCTTGTGCGGCCAATGGGGAGAGCGCAGGCCCCACTTTACCCGGCGCAGAACAGCGATTCCTTTTCTTCGCGTCTTTTAAGACGTCCGTCCTTCCATTCCACAGGAAAAAGGAAAAAGAAATGTGCCCTCCGTCCCGTCTGATAATTAATTTCTCTGATTATCCTCGCCGTCGCTTGCACAGTAGTACTAGCATGCGAGTAATAAAGTTCATTATATGGACAAAATCTCCTAGTAGTAGTAAGTTCAACTTTATGGGCAAGTATTATCCTCTACTGGTGAAATTGATACGGTAGTAGTAACATGGGCTGTCTCTATTCTCTCCCAAAAATAAATAAATTGATGATACGGTAGATATGTATGGGTGGCACGGCATGGCGATAAATCTTGCCGCTTCTTCTACTAGTAGAATCGGTACTATGTATAGTGAGAACGTGGGCATGTCCGGCCGCCATTACTTGTGCGTGTCGTGGTACGAGTAAAAGCGGCCTTGGAAGCGGCGGGCCGCGCTGGTTCCAGCCAACGCCTCCGGCCGGCCGGCGTCATGTGCTTTGACGTCCCTTTCGTCGTCGTGTCAAAGCGGGCGTTAATGCCGCTCAGTCTTTGTCACGTTTAGCTTTAAATTTGTCAGCAGTAAGCTGGTGATCTCGACGCTGTTTTTGTCATGATCTCCGGTCGGTGGATCGACAGCTCCGGCGCTCATGCGTGTCCGTCGTGGTTGTGGCACGTATAGTAGCTGTGCAGGGCACAGGGCGCACACACCGAAACCTTTGACCTTTGGTTTCTGGCCGTCGATCGGGCTCCTGCTGCGAGGAGGGTGCGCCCCGTGACACTCTCCACTGCTCCCTCGTCCGGTCTGGTTTCACTGACAGTCTGACATGGAACGCCCAAGGCCAAGGCCATGCTTCGACTCACCCGGGGGCCGGGGCCATCTCGTCCTTTGGCCCTGTCGTCGACCACGCGTGAACCAGCTCGCCCTGCATTGCTCGGTCGGTGGGTCGGTCGTCCTCGCCTCTGCGACACTCCGCCGCACCGTCCCGGCCGCCCACTACCCTGCCCTGGCACCACCCCAAATTTACCATCCTACCCCCACGACCAGATTAACTATGTACTATATCTGTGTGTGTGATGTGCTGATGATTTGGCTAACGTGTGATGGATGTTGTTTGTGCGTGTGTGCGCAGGGTGGCGTGCCGGAAGTCGGGCGGGGTGCGGTTCACCATCAACGGGTTCAGGTACTTCAACCTGGTGCTGATCACCAACGTGGCGGGGGCCGGGGACCTGGTGCGGGCGAGCGTGAAGGGGTCCAGCACCGGGTGGATGCCCATGTCGCGCAACTGGGGCCAGAACTGGCAGTCCAACTCCGTCCTCGTCGGCCAGCCGCTCTCCTTCCGCGTCACCGCCAGCGACCGCCGCACCTCCACCTCCTGGAACGCCGCCCCCCACAACTGGCGCTTCGGCCAGACCTTCGAGGGCAACAACTTCAGGGTCTAGCTGCCCTTCTTCTCCTTCTCCGGCGCCGGCGATGGATGCGGCACATGGACGTCGTCTTATATACTACTACATACGAGTACTAGTGAGCGAGTAATTACTACAGTGAGTGGGCGAGGTTGGTGTGTGGCCTGCGAATGCAGATGCAAGGTGCAAGCAGGTTGATACTACTCGTAGTAGGAGTCTATCTATCTAGTCTTAATTAGGGTGAAGCTGGGAACTGAAGGGTGGTGGTTGTGTGGAGCGGCGGCTGAAGTGGCTGCAAAGCTGCAGCTGAAGATGGGAGCGGCGAGTGTAGCCCGCAGCTGCTGCTTCTCCGGTGTCCTGTGCCCCGTGTCGTGTCATCTTTGTCTCCATGGCACGCTGCTGGCTGTTACTAGTACTATTTATCATGTCAATCGATCAATCATGGACCTGATTTGTATATGTGTCTATCTATCAACCAGCTTGGTCGCTGGGGTTGCAAAGAAGGATAATACTATTACCTCTCTCTGACATGTGCGTGTGCACCAGTATGTATGTGTATGTTTGAGTCTGAGTCGGGCAAATTTGCAGCGCCGTGGCCATCACTCAGTCCTCCCGGGACAAACGCTGGATGGGAAAAAACGCGTGCAAAGTATGAAAACGGAGGTGAAAAGCGAAGGCACCACCCTGAGTTCCGAAAGCGAACCCTTCGCGCCTTCGCTTTTGCTCGGACGAGCACGGAATGGCGCCAAGGACGAGCCATGGCGCGCCACCGGCCAAGCATGCCGTTTTCACGATCGGCATCATGGCTTTGCAGCAACCACGTCCTGCTGCTGGCATTGCCGTTGCCTGTCTGGCCTGACCTCGTCGCCGGGAAAGGCAGGAGCAAGTTTGCAGATCGTCCACGTAGTATCCGAGTCAAACAAACAGGGACGCCGTTGCTCTCACCGGTGATATCTGCTGACGCCCAGCAGGATCACACATAACCATCCAGGAGTATGTGTCAAAGTCAAAATGCACGGCAGCAGCCAGTAGTGGACGACACATGCAAGACAGTGAGTACTCGGCAGCATGAGCTCCGCTGCCAAGAATTCAACGACACACAAATACATCCATGTAACTGGCGTACTCAGGACATTTTCAGACCATCACCCTAGCTAGCTACTTTCTCCGTCCCATAATATAAGACACTTTTTGACACTACACTAGTGTTAGTGTTGAAAAACATCTTACATTATGGGGCGGCGGGAGTAGATAGCACAGGTTCAGACTCTGGGTTGTTGTGAAGTACGCGTGCGTGTTCACGCTGGGCGGTGTCATTCTGCCGGCGGACTTGGGCTCTTGATGCTTCTCTGCTGCCGGCTTCTTGCCTGGGTCACTGGAGTCTTGAACCCCTTCCAGGACAGAGACCACGTAATCCATGGTCGGCCTCATATTACGTTCGACGTGCAAGCACGCGACAGCAAGGTTGCCGATTTTTCGCGCCCCGTTGAGCGGGTATTGGCCTCCTAGCTTTATATCAACGACACGAAAGATCTTGCGCTTGCTTGTGAGATACGGCCGGGCCCATTCAACAAGACTGCGCTCCGCCTGGGGACGGTTCGCGTCAAGTGCGCGACGACCACACATCATCTCTAGAAGCACAACCCCGAAGCCATATACGTCGCACTTTGCAGTAAGATGGCCTGAATATGGGTAAATTAGTTGAATGGATGTTAATCACATGCTGAATATGAGCTCCTGGTAATAATATAAAAAGTAGGTATATGTTCTTTGCCAAGAACGCAGCATTGCAACATTTGTTCGGTTAAAGTACATTCAGCTGAATTCAAAATGTAAGAAGATGAGCTGAAACTACTGACCGGTTAAATGAATGTTTACCACACGCTGAATATGAGCTCTAGGTAAATTTTACAAAAATGTCAATGTATACTTCTTTGCCAAAGGGTAGCTTGCAACATTTGAAAGCAAATTAAATTGAGTGTAATTCAAAACATGTCATTTGATGGAACAAATTATGGTTGAAGGTAAAAAACTCATAAAACATTTCCCGATATAGTCTGCGTATTCACACCATTGTACATAGTTCACAAAGAAAAGGTATGAATAAATCATAAATTTCATGATGGCACTGGGGCATTAGATATTCAGTATCAGATCCTGACACTGAATGCATTTCAACTGCATGCGTAGCAACTTCAAGAAAGTAATGTTGTTCCAAAAATGGTATCTGCGCAGCAGCAGATTGACAGAAGACGAAACAACTTGTACATTTTTAATTAACTTGTACTCCCTCTGTAAACTAAACTAATATAAGATCGACTGCTATTAACTAGTGCACTAAAAGCTCACTAACACTCAATTGTTCCAGTCATATGCCAGATGTTTTATATCCAAAAGACAAGCAAATGCGCAGAATACTGGCTTCATGAAACACAAAATTGCAAGTCAAAAGTTACCTGTTGACACATATTCTGGAGCTGCATAACCATATGTTCCCATTACCCTTGTGGTCACATGACTGTCTTCACCAACAGGACCATCCTTTGCCAATCCAAAATCAGAGAGTTTTGCAGTATAATCCTGGGCAGTACAATATGCATTCATTTAAGTAGAGAGATCAGATGGTCATAGAGGTTAACTATGCTATATTGACGATTCACTTTTACTTACGGTGTCAAGGAGAATATGAGATGGCTTAAAATCCCTACAGATAACGTTAACCTCCGCATTGTGAAGGTAGGCTAGTCCTTTTGCAGCTCCAAGTGCAACCTTCATCCTTATGTTCCATGAAAGAGGTTCAAAGCCTCCTACATCAAGGATTCATATATAACAAGTTATAAGTAGAAACAGTTTTACAGCGATGACATATGCAAAACGAATAAATGCTCCACGTCCAAGTGTAGCTTACTCCTGAAAAGATGATTGTCCAAGCTCCCACGTGGCATCCACTCAAACACCAGCACCCGATACTCATCATCTATGCAGTACCCGATTAACTTCAGAAGGTTGGGATGGCAAAGCCGACCTAGGTAATTAATTTCGGCCTATAAATGGACACATGAAAATGTGAGAAAATATCCATTTTTTTATTAACACTCATGAAGCTGTGTGTAAATGAATGCAGAAACATCACATAAAGGACGGAGGTGCGAACCATGGGACTTATAAAGTTGCAAATAGGGAATTCAAATACATCACGTAACTATGGCCATATTCGAAAGTGAACTTCAAATAAACATGAATCAACCATGATATCGGCAATAGTAGCAGTATGGATAGTTGTATAGTTTCTTTGACTTCTTTAATTTTTGGCTTCCTTTTCTGCTTTTGTTTGTTGGCTGTAGTTTGACGTCATTTGGACATTTTCTTCTAATACAAAATGATGTACACTTAGGTGTGTATTCGAGAAAAAGAAAAACATGATATCAAGGACAACAGAATGAAATAGAATGCCCTTTATGCTCACCAACCACTCTCCGTGCCCTTGAAAGCCCTTCGGGTTGAGTTTTTTCACAGCAACAGGTATTCCTGTACCAGGTTGGCAAGCTGACAATGTACGCTCATCAAACCATCCTTTATAGACAGATCCGAACCCTCCTTCGCCGAGCATGCTGTCAGGAGAGAAGTTCCTCGTGGCAAACCTGAGAGCATTATAGCTGAAGGCCTTAACTTTGGCTGACTGCACGATTTCACATCCAGTGTTAGCACTTGAAGAAGTGTTCGCACTTGAAAAGGTGTTCACGCTTGAAGGTTTGGAAGCTGAAAAAGTTTGACTGCTGCCGCCAGTAAGCCTGGAAGCCAAAAAAGTTGGACCGCTGCTGGCAGTAAGACTACTCTCATGTTTACGACGACTCCTTGAGAACATTCCTGCAGATCATGTCTTCAGTACAGATTCTTCTGAATGATACTTGCATATAAAAGTTACAAAATCAAGACACTATTTTAAATGGAAGTATTATCTGATGAATAAGTTTTTGCATTGATCTATCCCAGGTACATGGTGTGATAATCATGCATTGCAGGTTCTGAATGGTTGACTCTACCTTTTTAAAGGAAATTTTGCACAACAGCTAGGGACTGGATGAAGAAAGCAATCGTTAGTTGCCCATTATCTGAACAATATGAGCCATGAGAATGCAAATCAGCCATTGCCATCTGTGCCACACAAATCTAGCAATTATTAGTTAACTGGTGTTCCAGAAGTTAATGTGAAGATTGTTTCAAACAGCATAACAAGCAACATAGCAGGAAGCCAGGAATGTTGATTCCTGCGAGTGGTGGTATGCTCCGGACCCAAAAGATAGATAATTATCTGCATCGAGCACTATGGCAAAACGAATATGGTTGAAAACAGAGGGGGTGCCCTCCAAGGTGAGCGGCTTCAGGGCAGCCGCGACGAAGGTGCCGGGGTAGACTCGACACAATGGTCCTCCTCGAGCAGATTGTTAGCTCGTATGACTGGCGGAGAGCTCACCAGTGTTGGATGGCGCAAGGTGGTGCCACCAGGGGAGGCTGTCGCTGCCTTCATAGGCAGCTTTCAAGGTGGTCTGGGGTCCGGTTTTCATGGTGGGCCTGGCCCTGGCCCACACAGAGAGGATTCTCCAGCCATATCGCCTATCAGGGGGTCTCCAAGGTGGCGCAGGCGGCGACTCCAGTAACGTAGAAATCCTGATTACGGCAACTGATTAGCGTCAAAGAAAGACAGGTTGAAGAATCAATCAACTGAAGGGAGGAAAAGTTCATACCCGCTATCAGGTTGCTGTCTGTTTTCATCTTCCCCTTCGTACTCATATTCTGTGTTTTCCTCCAGGATCTCACCTAGTTCTTCTATAATCGGTCCTGCATGCCTTGGTGGCGCCATAATTCTATCTTCGTCCTCAAAGAACTTCCAGTTCACCAGTTGATCGTTGATTTTCGGGTTTTTTGGATCATTCCTAACATAAATCCCCAAGGCAGACTCTGTGCCAGTAGCACCTGCACCCACAATTTTTGCGGAGATCTCTTTAAGCCCTGCCAGGTGCTCGATGCAGATAGGTGCAGCACCATGCTGCACTTCCTGGGCACTGAAGACTAGATTGAGCTTCTGAAGATTAGGCATTGCACCAGCCTCAAATTTCAGCAAAGGTTCACTGCACTTCAACGTGAAGTACTTGAGAGCTGAAAATCCTGCCTTGCCAAAGAAAATCCTCTCTGCAGGTGCTGCCTGGACATATAGCGAGAGAGCAGTGAGGGCAGGCAATCCTTTCACGATATCAATGTCACTGTTCGAGAATTCTCTAACTGCTACCTTTAGACTGCAGAGTTTGCTGAGTGTTTCCAACCACTTTGGGAGGCTCGGAAAGATGCAAATCCACGGCAGTAACTCAAGTCTCTCAAGATGGGCTGGAGCAGGGGACACGCTGCTCAAGCCATGGCAGGAAATACTCATCCTCGAAGTATTTACGGGGGATGAGCCTAAAGATGTCAGAGTTAGAGATTTGAGGTTGCTGAGTTTCTCGAGAACTGTGCCCAGGTATTTCATGTTGTCCTCCAGATTATCAACTTGGTGTACTGTAGAACAGGTGAGATGAAGATCCTGGAGGTTAACCAGCCCGCCAAGGTCCCTCACATTAGCCTGGCTTGGAAGGAGGAGGTGCCGTAATTTCTCCAGATTTCCAATATCTGATGGAACTGCAGATAGTCTTCCATCTACTTGCAGCGTCTCCAAGTATCGTAACCCTTGAATCTTGTCTGGCAAATTGACAGTGATATTACATTCAACCTGGATATATCTCAGTCGACAGAGTTCACCGATTCCAGTGAGGTCAAAGCTCATCCTGTCTCGATCAGCCCAAATATGAAGAATTAGAACTCGAAGAAGGCCATAATCCGGAATGGAAGGTACACATCCAGAGAATCCACAGAAGAAAAGCGATCGGACTTGGGACATTCTGATGCTTTCCGGTATCTTCGCACTTTTTGCACCTCCGAACTGGATGGACGATCGACGAGCCTTGTCAGGAAGCCCTATAGTTGATTCAAGATAGTTCACAGTAATGATGAAATTATCCTCCATGGATTTGTGCCTGATAAGATCCAGTACCATGTGGTTAACTGTACATGACAACACCTCACCGTGATAGTTAGTGTCTACCGGTTGGATCATGCCTCTTCTGAGAAGCTCGTTAAAGTAACCATGCTCGGCGTCACTGACAAAACTTTCAGCAACCCATTGCTTCTCCAAATCATCCTTATTGATCGTGTAGCCCTCTGGATACATACCAACATAGAGCAAGCATGTCTTCAAATGAAGTGGAAGCTTATCATATACAAGGATTATAACATCTTTCATCCCACTGGAAGTAGGATTTGTCCTCAAAGTGGAGGGTAGAGAACTTTCTACCTTCTCCCACTGCTGAAATGCAGGGTTTGGTTTGCTTGGGAGCAACAGGCTTGCTATATTTAGAGTTGATAAGGGTAAACCACCACATTTCCTGATAATCCTATCCACAACTACTTCGAACTCCTCAGGACAACCAGTTTCACTTTCAGAGCCAAAAACAGTATCGAAGAATAATTTCCGAGATTCACCATTATTAAGAGGTTGCAAGTTAAATATGTACTCTGACTCATAACCAGAACATGCCAGTGCTACATCTTCAATCTGTGTGGTTGTCAGTACTCTACTGCAACAATCACCATAAGGAAAAGCACGGCTAATAATATCCCATACTGATGCTGTCCATAAATCATCAACAACAATGAAGTACCTGAAAGATATTTTTGTTCATATTGAATATATTTAGTCAAGCTTACACACACAAAAAAAAGGGTAAGGAAACACAATCAATATTGATATGATTTATCTCTGAAAGGAATACATGAGAAGAAGGATACATAAAACTAAGAAAAGAGTAAATAGTGGTGTTTCTGCGAAAAACATCGGATCTCCTAACTTTTGCAGTTTTCCAAATAGAGAGGATAAGGTAATGTATCTCTCCGTCCGAAAATACTTGTCGGAGAAATGGATAAAAAATAATGTATCTAGAAATAAAATACGTCTAGATACATCCATCTCACCGACAAGTATTTTCGGACGGAGGGAGTATATGAAAAAGGTGGGTCCATGAGTTTAGATAAGATAATGTATGTGTATATCTCCAAAAAATGCCATACAATTTATAGGTATACATGTACACCTTTACAAGAAAAAGGGGACAAATAATGAGTTCTTTTTGTGGCCGCTGGTACTGGCTTGTCCATGGTCAGATTTGATGGCTGTCTCCGGAGCAAGCTGGAAAATTTTGCATCTTTCTCTGGCATCATCCACACGGGCCATTAAATGCGAGAAATCTTGCGCAATCTGGGGCAGGCGCCGCTTCCGCTTACTGGTAACTCCGAATATGGCACTAACAGGAGCACTTCTGCCGCCGCCGCCGCCGGACTGTATAACCTCGTCGAAGAAGTCCTCCGTGTCGTAAGCAAGTTCCCGGACCTCCTTGGCCCACCATTTGGGCGTGAAGCCAGGGTCCAGATCTGCCTCCGGCAAACCCTTGAGGTGGTCGCACAATCCTTCTAGGCCCTCTTTCAGAAGCCGGACCCCGTTCGCACTGAGCCCCTCCGGCAGAGGCTGTTGGGAAGCATCCAGCGAATGGAGTCGCCGGAAGAGGCGACCTATGGGGCCGAGCGAAGCAGTGACGGGATCCTCCATTTTCGCCTCAAGCGGAGCGGAATCAGGATCGTCCTCCGTCTTCACCGGAAGCCAGCAGTTGGCTTTGCATCCCCACCTGAAGTATGCATCTGCCTAACTAATTGTTGCCATGGATGAGAAGTTCCTCTTTTTTTCTGAGAACATGGATGAGAATATCGAGAGGCACGAGAAAGCATGCCTGACCGCTGAGGAATCGTGACCAATGGTATGGAAATGGAAGTCTCAATCCCGACGAGCAGGATGTGGGGGTACTTCTCTGGTGGTTGGCCTGGGAAAACAAGCACCACACAAACCACAAGCATGTTGCATACGGCAATTCTTTAGTTCTGGGACATCAAAAAATATGGAAAAATAAAATTATGAACATTTGTTATGCTGAGCCTACAATTAAGATCAATCCACAAAATTTTAGCACCACAGTATGTTAGGTAAATGATGCAGATCGGGTGACCGATTACTCGTGCGCATCGGTCTCGCGCCACACGTCCAGTGGGACTCACGCGAGCAGAGTCTTGTCCTTCTCACGTCCACATGTTTTTCCCTCATGTGCCGCACTGCATCTTCTTCTTCCACGCAGCACCGACACCCATGTGATGCCACACGCCCCCGCACCGCGTCCTCTCGCTCCCTCACAAATCGTCGTCGGGCGAGCTCCAACCGGTCAGTCGCCACCTTCAGGTCTAGGGGCACACTACGAAGTGTGAGGGAGGAAGACAACCACTCAGGTGCTTTTCAGGGGTGGTTGTGCTGCGGAAGGTAGGTGGCGTCATATGTGTCGCGAGCGGGCCACCAATGGTGTTGCGAGGGTTGCGACGCCTTCGGCGAGCTCCGTGTCACATAAAAAAAAATCAAACTAGGGTGTGAATATAACATTCATATGCATAACTTGGTTTCAGTGCATTTTGGGAATTTTTTTTTGAATTAATTTGGCTATTTTAGAAAACCCTAAATTGATTTTGGGATTTATTTAATAGCCATATTAAATCCATTTTGCATAAACTAAAAGCTCAAAATTTGCATCATGGTTGATTTTTTCTATGATCTACATGATCCCTAGTATTTGTTTAAGTTTTATTAAGTTTAAAGGATTTTAATTAAAATGAATCTGAGCCAATTCAAATCTTGTAGAAAAAGAAAAAGAAAAAAGAAAGAAATAGAAAAAGAAATCCAACCCAACTTGCCGAGCAGCCACTTGAACACGTAGCGCTACTTTAAATCACTGCATATGTGTAGTTTATAAAAAGGAAAATGTTATTGCTCCTTCTCTCTCTCACTTCTTTTGGTGCCTCTATGGCACGTCATTTTCAATTTTTTTACACCTCCGTGTTGCATTTGTTTTTTCCTCTCAAGGTAGAAGCAACACCTTACAATGGTGATCTGTACGCTTTTCTCAACTTCATTTAAATGCAAACATAGCTCTAGCTATGACCATGAAAAGAAAACTATATATGATGTCTTCGACATAGCCATGAAAAAACAATGATCTATGTAGCATGTATTATGATGAACCAAAGCATATGACAATGAGAACTCATACCTAGTCATGTAACATAAATGTTGGTAGTGCATGACAAATTATTCTGAATGGCTATGAAAATGTCATAAATAGATAGGTATAATGGTTGTTTTATGGATATGCTGGGTTTATGTGTAGGAGGACAAGAGGAAGGCCTCCATGTGGTTGGATATACCAGCAAAGAATGCAAAACATATATAGGGCATGTTTGGTCAGAGGCTTGGAGCAAAATTGTCGTCCCGGGCTTTGTTTGGTTGGTGGCCTAGATAATCTGACTCTAGGCTGGCATGCAAAAGCAACTAATTATACGGTAGTACTGTAACACTATAATATCCTCTCAAGCGCAAACCAAACACCACGTACTCATGCCTAACCAAGCAAAAATCTCATCTTTGTCAGCCTACTCTGAAGCAATACCTTTCTCCAGGCATGAACCCCATGTCTCAATCCAAACTGGCCCATAGTCATTAGACACGCACATGTCAATGAGTAAGGATACACATACGGGGAAACTCGGAAGGACGAGTCCAAGGTGCACATGTATGAGTGTCCAGGGGCTCTCGAGTATCGCGCCTCATCGAGATCGAGTAAACACTCGTTAGGGGCACGGACGACTGCAACATTTTAGGGATGAGGCAGTTATGGGAATACACGATACACTTAACCGCGCCACCTCCTAATCGTATCAGGTCTAATGAGGGGTATTTGAACAAACCACATATGCCCTATATACATATAGAGAGGTTGACATGCTTGGTAGAAGGTAGGTTTAACTCAAGATCAAACTTCCCCATATTTATTGAAGATAAGACTTTTCAACGCTTTTTTTTCAGTGGCATGATGTGTCTGATGACTTTGAGGTGTGTGTGTGTGGTGATTTTGTCAATCAAAAGATATATCAACCCGGTCTCTAAGTCTTGGAGGTGCCATAGGGATAGGGGTGGGTGTGCGTGAGTGTTGTGAATGTCTATGTGTCCTTATAATGTTTCATCTGGAAGCATGCAAATGATGGGATTTACACGGCGGCCACTGCGTACAAGGCTCAATTCCTAGACATGACTATCCCCCCCTTGGATCGCATGGTTTGGAAGGCATGGGCACCTTCAAAGGTTAAGTTTTTTGCTTGGTTGACGTTGCAAGATATGATTTGAACCGTCGATCGCTTGGAGCGACGAGGTTGGCCAAATTGTGGCCTTTACAAGCTTTGCAATAGGGAACATGGGGAGCCCGTCTTTTCTTCATGTGCCGCTACACTATTCGGTTATGGAAGTCTCTCATTAAGAAGCTTGGTCTCGCGCACATGGATACATCCGACTGGTCCATGTACGATTCCATCTATGAGTGGTGGGACAAGAGAACCGACAACTGCAACCCTAACTGGGCAAGCTATATGGCCTCCCACACCATGCTCGTCTCGTGGACCATTTGGAATGAAAAAAATGCACAGGTATTCCGCCTCAAGAGTGCGTCACCAACCATCCTACTCACCGCCATCGTCGAGGAGGCCAAGCTTTGGATGGCCACGGGCGCAAAGAAATTAGAGAATATTTTTCAGGGCTAGTAATAGTCATGCCGAAATTGTATGGGTGTGTTGAAAACCTCTAAACTCTGTTATCTCCTTATTTAATAGATGAGGCAAATTTTATGCGTCCGTTTGAAAAAAAGGCATTTCTCATTATAAAAATACCATGCACTGATTTTTTAAAAATAATTTCAGTGCATTTACCAAAGAAAAAATCAGTTTGTCCAGAAAACCTAAGAATTACCGTACACCTGCAAATGGTTTTCTTTGCAATTAATTATTTTCATATGTAAAAGGATTTTTTAGGGGAATATGTAAAAGGAATTTAAAAAGGCTAATCCACACACTTCTAAGTCCAAAAAAAAGTCCAACCGGACGTGCGCCCCTATCCAGTCTCTACTCGCTCACTGGACCAAAACTGCTAGTCCACCCTTTCGTCTTTTCCTCCGGCGCCCGAAACGGCCGCCGCCTGCTCAACTCCGGCCGGTGCAATTTCACCGACGGGGAACCGTTTGCTGCATCCACTGGAGATGCTCTGACAACGGGTGCACAACTAGCCTCATAGGGCGAGAGAGGGGTTAGCAACTTAGCATGTAGACTAGCTAGCTAGGGATATATTGAGATGGAGGTTGCGGTGGTCGTCGGCCCGATAGTGAAGCTGCTGCCGAAGCTCCTATCGGTGATAGATGGCAAAAGGAAGCAGCTGGACAACCTGGAGGTGGACGCCGGATTCATCCGCCGCGACCTGCAGTCGATCCAAGAAATCATTGGCCGCTCGAGTGGCGGCAGATCCATCACGGACCTCTGGGTCCGAGATCTCAGGCGCCTGGCGGACGACATGGAAGACTGCATCGACCGCTTCCAGGTCGGGAAGATGGGCAGAGTCCGTTTCGTCGGGAAGATCGGCAGACTGAAGAAGAGGTCAAAGGAGACTCTCGAGCAGCTGCAGAACTCCATCAGCATCACCGGAGCCGCCGCACCTCCGGCTCCCGCCGGCGGGGGCAACGATCAGGATCCGGAGGGGCAACTACTTGCTCTGCTTCCGCGGAGCCCATCGGAGGGGAGGCTCAAGGTGATTTCAGTCGCCGGATTCGGTGGAGCAGGTATGACTCGCCTTGCCCACAAGGTTTACAGCAACAGGGATGTGCGCAGCCAGTTCCCTCTGCACGCCTGGGTTCGTGCATCCCCGGGCATGAGTGTGCACAAGCTTCTTCAGAAAATACATGACCAACTGCTGCTAATTAGTATTGCCAAGAATCATGGTGCCACTGCCTCCAGCTCCAAAATAATACCACAGGTCAACGGAGAAGCCGAAACTGACCGCGGGCTCATCGGATTACTCAAGACCGGAAGGTGATTATAGCTTAACTAGTATAATGCCTCCTGACCGATATAGCTAAAGATTACCTGAAGGTGATTATGTAGCTTAACTAGTACAATGCCTCCTGAGCAATATAGCTAAAGATTACCAAAAGGTGATTATATAGATTAACTAGTAATGTTTGCTTTCAACAGTGTTATTATTGTGAACTTGTTGGAGACATGATTCTGTTAGAATATCCTCTTTTGGGAAAATGAAGTAAATAGGGCTATTGCCGAGTGCAAATATGTTTTGAAAGCAAAACTGCGGAATGAGGAAAATTTAAGCTCTAAAACATACATGCGTTGATTCTGATAAAAGTAGATTGATGGAATGTGGTCTAGGACTGTAGGTTAAACTTGTTGAAGGATTTCCCGTTGAATTCAATCTTGAGTATACTGACTCAATGAAGTTCACAAGTAGGAAACAGAGAGCTAAATTGGTGTCAGCATTTCAAAATTTCAGTAACTTATGATTGGAATCGACTAGTAAGATTGCAAGCAAATATTGATAGCTGCAAAACCTGCAACAACAAAAAAAAATCATGATTTTTATTTTCTCAAAGATTCATTCATTATGTATCTTGTAGGTATTTGATTGTGATTGATGGTGTGAATACACATGAGTTGTACGACGTGCTATCTGCCTTCTCTTGGGCTGATGGAGTGGATTGCAGAATTATCATGACGACGGCCATTCAGCTGCCAGAAGCGACATGCTGCAGATGTGGTAACGGTTCATCACTTGCTATGGATAGCACAAGCCAGGTTTTCATTGGAGAGCTGACAGAGAGTGGATTTGTGGAGGCCTGCCTCCATCTTCGTGATGACACTATAGAAAGAATTCGGCGCGGCAACAACGAGATCCTATCCAGTCCTGTTGTCCAGGACTTATTGCTGTATTTCTGCATGTTCCCACGCGATCATCCTGTCAGGAGGAATCCCTTGATAAGGCTATGGCTGGCTGAAGGACTTGTGTTTCCTCAACCAGAAACAGAGAGTTTTTCCCAGGATGTTGCAGCCAAGAATTTGGAGAGCCTCATCAGCCGCAATGTCATCCAGCCCATTCAAGTGAGGAACTATGGAAATGTGAAGAGATGCCAAACTTTTGGGATGATGCTTAACTCCATTTCCAGCAAATCCAAGTCACAGAACTTCATCACCATGCTGTGTGGTAGCGGCCAGACGACGGAGAGGAATCCACCGGGCAAAGAGATTCGCCGGCTTTCGCTCCATCTTAACGGTGCGGCAAATGGGCCACTTAATTTGCCAAAGGAGTTATCTCGTCTCCATACTCTGGCAGTATTCCCTGATGATGCAAATGTCTCCAGGCATCAAGCTAATTTGAATTATGCCAAATATAAGCTACTGCGAGTTTTGGATCTCAAAGAATGTGCCGATGTGAAAGCAGAACATGTGGGCAAAATATGTGACCTGTTGCTGCTCAAATATCTGAGCCTCGGGGACAGTATTGACAAGGTTCCGAGGAAAATAGCGAAGCTAAAATGGTTAGAGACTCTCGACATGAGGAGAACCCAGGTAGTGACGCTGCCAATTGAAGTCCTCCAGCTCCCCGGGTTGAAACACCTCCTTGGAAAGTTTCAGCTAGTTGAAGGCGACTGCACACAGAAGAAGCTAGAGAAGCTCCTGTCAAAAGATATTGAACTGCATAGGCTTTCCGGATTTGTCACAGACAAAAGCGAAGGGTTTGCGCAGCTGATGAGTCGCATGGGGAAGTTGAGGAAGGTGAAAATATGGTGCGATTCCACCGCAGATGTGACGAAACTGGTTCATGTTTTAGGAGCCACAAAGAAATTCATTGGCGGAGGCCTGGATATGACAAGAGTCGATCGTTCTTTATCTATCGACTTCCAAGGATGTCCAACAGAATGCTCAGAACAGTTCATGGATTCTCTGAAAGCTACAGGCCGTCTTACCTCGCTCAAATTGCGAGGCAAGCTGACACAACTCCCTCAGTTCCGTGCAAAGCTGAATTACATCGAAGAGTTATGCCTCTCAAAGACTAGTCTGAGCGGTGACACAATCCTGAGTAGCCTGTCTGGACTGAAAATGACACTGAAATATTTCAAGCTGGTAGAAGATAAGCTTGGTCACTTGGTCATAAAACCAGAGCATTTCCGAAGCCTGAAGGGGTTATGCCTCGTGGGCGAGCAAAGTCTAGAGGACATATCAATCCAAGATGAAGCTATGCCCTACCTTGTGTCACTTCATATACTTTGTGAAGCTCAGGGTGATCTTCCAGGCATCGACATCACACGCATGGGAAGGCTAAAAGAAGTCGCGCTCCATTCCGGAGTACAAGATACGATAAAGGATGGATGGCAAGCAGCTGCAATGAACCATCCTAATAGGCCCAACGTTTTGTTTATCCATCATGCTAACTCCTTGCCTAGAGACTCTCCGCCGTGCGAAGCAACAGGGGAGATTGTAAATCGGACCAAACCTATTGGGAGAAAATTCACCTCCTCTATCATGGGGGGCATCTTTTCTCGTGCACGGCCAAGATCCTGACACACTGAAGCAAGTCGCATTGATCATGGTTAGTTTTGTGTCTATTTCCTCCTGACTATCATTCAGGTTGTACTCTCAGTACAGTTTCCAGGTATGATGATGTTGGTGCACATTGATTGTCTACAGAGCAAAGCTTTTGCATCCATTCGCTGATCGATGATGTGTGTGCTGCATGATGTGACCTCCATGAGGCGTGGCTTCTCTGCGAGGTGGCTGCAGGCAGTGAGTACAGTGGGATGATGCAGCCTCTTCATGGGTGATTGATGATGTCCTGATAAGCAATTTACAAGCGAATTCCGCTGATAACGTTTCATGGCAAAACAGAGTAAATACAGGTACATTGTGTAGAGATGTTGCTAATTAGAGAGTTTGTTAATTTGATTCGACAGACTGGGTTTATACAATGGAACAGCCACACCTCTCTATTTTGCAAATGCATCGAATAAAGTAAGTATTCACTTGTACTATCAGATGTATCGATGTAGTGACATTACTGTGTCTTTTGTTGTCTGCAGCGCAAAGTTTTGAAATCATTCTCTGATCCGTGGAGCTTTCGGTTGGATGCATGGTCCAACTTTATGCTGTTCTATGATGTCTCCTCCAATTAAAAATGCACTCTTCTTCTCACGGCGTGATTACAAAGGGAACGTCATAGGCAAAAGGGAGGGCACAAGCAACATAACAGTTGAAGGAAATTTCAACTATCAGATAGCCTATCATGCCCTCTGCCATAAAACCTTTTGTAGCCAGGGAGGGAGGGAGATGGTGTATATTTACTTGTCCAAAAAAAGAGGGTACAGTATAATTTTTCGGTCTCAAGTGCTGCAGTGCCTGCTATTGTTGCACTACCATGTTACTGATTTTTTTTTTAAATTGTGAGGCTTCAAAAGGTCAGGAAACTTATTCAACATGGACTTATTTGTCGGTGATTGCAGCTATGAAGATTGATACTTCCCATATCTCTCTGCTTTTTTTTTTACAGAATGTAATGCTCCCTCTCTCTCAAAATGTAAGACGTTTCTTGACACTAATAGTACAAGAGGGAGTACGTTATATGATGGTAAAATCAAAAGGCAAAAGCCAGGCGCGAGCAGGCTGCTTTAGGCTCATGAATGAATGATTTGGCATGTTCGGGCGCCACCGCCCATGGAATTGTTACGAGGCGTTCATGGCTTGCAGCGTTCTGCTGCTGCCCTTGCCATTTCTTTCTGATCTGATACGGCTGCCGACTTGCCGTCCACATCCCCCGGAAAGCAAGAACAAAGTTTGCACATCGCGAGCGCCAAAACAAACAAGGACGGCGTTGCTCTCACCGGGGAACTGACGGCTGGGCTGGGAGTGAAGGAAGTGGATGGCGGCAATGATCGCCGGAGCGCCGAGCTCACCCCCAACATACTCCTATCATTTCCGAACCCTACCTCCCGCTCTCGGAAGCGCTCTTGTTTGCTAGGCTCTCTGTTTGGCTGAAAATCGGTGCTGCAAACATGTGATCAGACGCAGGTACTACTATATGACAAAGCAGACGGATATTCTAATGTTCAGGCCACTAACTGTAAAATAATGGAGCTGGCATTGAGAAAAGTGGATTTGAAGTCTCAACTCTCGGCGAGTATGGGGGTCTGATTTATCACATCTCTCTCCCGGACGCGACTAATCTGCACCCGAGCTCATATGCTCCCGCATGAACAGTAAAATCGAAAAAAATTAATTTTTTTTTAAAAAATTCCAAATTTTTTTTGAGTGAAACATTGACAAAAGTTCTAAGTGCCTGCAAAAATTCGTCATGAAATCACATTCCTAGAAGGCGTGGCAAAAAAAAACAAAAAAAGTACTCTGAAAAAGCTACTTTCAAACGCATTTTGAAGCACTGAATTTGTTTTTTTGCCACGCCTTCTAGGAATGTGATTTTATGACGAATTTTTGCAGGCACTTAGAACTTTTGTCAATGTTTGTCTCAAAAAAAAATTTGGAATTTTTTTGTTTTTTTTCGATTCTACTGTTCATGCGGGAGCATATGAGCTCGGGTGCAGAATGGACTTTTCGCTCTCTCCCCCTCCTTTTCTGTTCTCAGGAACGAGATCCTGAGATCTGAAGAGCAAGCTGCAGCCGCTCGACTCACGCGATTCCTCCGACTAGCCGGCGACTAGGATCACCAATCCTCCCACCAGCCGACTAGCTGCCGTCTTCTTCCCACAGCTTCTTCCACTCTGCAGAAAGAAACATCTCTGCCTACCACTCCCTGAGGTTACCATCTGCAAATCTGTCTGCCGCCACCTCTCCCGCTCCTCTGATTAGTAGCGGCGATTTGGAGCGATTATCCCGAATCAACAATCTTGCAAAAGGCTTCTCCAGGTAATCATCACTAGTACTTTTTTTTCCCTTCCCCTTGAGAAGTTTTTTTTTTGTGAGTTACCCTTGAGAAGATAATCTCTTCTCCAGGTAATCACCACTAGTACTTGTTTTCTTTTTTCCCCTTGAGAAGATATTCTCCAGATATTTAACTGGCTGCTGCTATAGATCGGTAGTTTTGAGATTAACTACCTGCTTCCTAGTCCTTTTGGACATTCATCCAGCGCAGGCCAGTTGCATCATGCAGCTCTATGTTTGCTTCAAACTTATTGCAGTTACCTATGCCGTTAAGTGCGTGTTGGGTTTTGTGGAGGAGCTATGCTTGTGCTTGTGCTTGCTCTGTTTCGCAACATTTTTCCGGGCAACTGGGTTGTTGAATTTTTTTTCTACTCATAAAATCAGAAGATTGTTCTCTATTCCATAGCTATATCTTTTGTGATTACTTGAGCAACTGGGATGCTTGATCTACTGGGCCTCCCAAATAATGTGCTCGCTCTTGTTTCAGGGTACTCTCGCCTCACCTAACTGTTAATGGGTCGCCAAGCCAGTGCTGCAAGAAATGACCTCGAGCACATGCTATCTCACGAAAACGAACAACCAAAGGCCTTGCCATTATCACTTTTGGAAGATATTACAGATGGTTTCTCTGAGAACCGTCAAATTGGCAGCGGTGGGTTTGCGGTGGTTTATAAGGTAAGGCAACTCTTAACTGCCCTCGGTTAATCCGAAGACTGAAGTTGATGTTAACAGGGCATCTTGTGACTTATAGGGAATGCTTGAGAATGGGACCGTTGCTGTGAAGAAGCTGTTTGAAAGGCTTGATATTCCCGATAATAAATTCAACGAAGAGATTCGCTGTTTGATGAAGGTGAAGCACAAAAATATAGTACGGTTTCTGGGTTATTGTGCTAACGTACAAGGCGAAATGGTAGGCTACGATGGAGATTTTGTCATGGCAGATGTACGTCAATAGTACGGTTTCTGGGTTATTGTGCTAACGTACAAGGCGAAATGGTAGGCTACGATGGAGATTTTGTCATGGCAGATGTACGTCAAAGGTTGCTCTGCTTTGAGTACGTACCTAAAGGAAGTCTTGATGAGTATATCAAAGGTAAGATCATGTGGCCTGCAACTTTTGTTTCATTTTAATGAATATATATATATGAAAGGTAGGATCACGCGGCGTGCAACTTCAGTTTCCAATTTTAATGTATATATTAATGTTTATTTAGTTCTAGCAGCCGACAAATGTAGTGACACTTACGGTGTCATTATATCTAGTATTACAAAACTAAGCACTCCTGCCTTCAAATATGTCAAGTACTAAAACCACACTTTCTTCAATTATCCCTCCATTATAGATGCATCTTTTGGACTTGGCTGGATAAAGAGCTATCAGATAATAAAGGGAATTTGTGAGGGTTTACATTACCTTCACGAGAATCATATTGTTCACTTAGATCTCAAGCCCGCAAATATTCTACTGGATGACAATATGGTGCCGAAGATTACCGACTTTGGCCTATCAAGGTGCTTTGATGAAAAGCAAAGCCGAGCTATTACCAAAAATATGTCCGGAACGTGGTAAGTTGGCAAAGCCTCTTGAATTAATCTTTTTTTATCTCAGGCAGAAACTGCACTATTTTCCCTTTTTCCCTCCATTTATATGACTATACAAAATTTCGTGCAGGGGGTATATGCCACCAGAGTTCCATAATGGAGACATATGCATAATCACATACAAATCAGACATATATAGTCTTGGTGTCATAATTATGGAGATGCTGACAGGAAAAAAGTGGTATCCTGCATATCCTGATATTGATGATGTAAGAACAATATTCGCGGTTGTTCCATGATAAAGGCTAGAACTCTATTAAAAAAGGACAAACTTTTGATTTTAAAATAGCAGTATTTCGCTTTTACTTTGCATATAAGTGTTACATAGTATCATTCTTTAAAGTAGATGTAGTAAAGTATCTCTAGGAAGATATATATTTCTTCCTTTTTCTGAACGAAACATGAAAATGCTATTTATATGGTGCTAGATCTTACAAGGCTCCACGAAGTCATATCTAAATTCATTAACGCCACCTTTTTTGTGCACATGGGGAAGACGTCAGAGAAGATAGGCATGACAAAGAGCACATATCTACAATTGACACGGTATCCAGGAGGAGAGTAAGATACGCGATAAAATTATATTAGAGAGAGCATTAATGTTCCAAATACCTATTAATGGATCAAAGAAAAAAATGAATATAATAGGATGATTTGTGGACCTAGTTAAATAGAACGGTTGTATGTTGGTTTTACACATCTATTTTCAAGATGCACAATATTGTAGCTATACTTTATTTTTACTGCTACATGTGTGGATGGTCTAGATTCTAGATGGAGTCATAAGTACAATCCCTTATTTTTTGGAGGAATTTTTTTGCTGCTCAATCCTGAATCAATATGGGTTTTACATTACTTTCATTTTTTAATGGATTGTAAAGTCATGATCAAATGACAATACTTCACAGACAGATTTGTTGGGCCATGGGAGTGCACAATGGTGGTGTAGTAGGACCTGAGTTGGTTACACTCTAGCATGGTGGGTTAGCTTAGGTGTAGAGTAAGATTGCTAGTTTTAGAATAGTGTCACATATACATACCTAGGCATAATGACCCTCTTTAAAGCAATATAATTATAGTAGAACATATTTCAAGAACCCATGCATATTTTACCATTATTTTAGTCTACTAGTAAATGCTAGAGTTATACCAATTTACTTTAGTCATACATATTATGGTTTCAACCAGAAAAGGTTACTTACGAACTGGTTGTTAAATGTTACTATTTATGGTTCCATATTATGGTTTCAACCAGAAAAGAGTACTATTTTAAATATGGAGCAGATGAGATGTTTTAGTGTATGAATGTATGCACATGGAGTTTCAGTAATAGTAGAAGAGCTGAAGATACGCTCCACCTCCTGC